ACTGTTCACTCTTGTGTTGTAAATAAGTGATTACTCACCTTATTTTTTTTTTGTCCAGTATCAAACGTAATTGTTAATGTAACTGATAAAACTAATTATTCACATTAAACTTGTATACTGCCACTGATAAATGAGATTTTTATAAGAGACGACCTGACGTATGTTTAACTAGGGCTAACGCATGCGCAGAACTCACTCTAATATTTACAAAATATAAAAGGTCGCGGGGCCACTGCCGTTTTAACCTTCTTGGAGGATTATAGCGATGGATAGTGCTGGATAGGGATTGTGCAAAGGGATTTGGATGATGGGTAAGGTTCTGGTGAAATTTGGAGAATTTTGCTGGGATAATGTCTAGGACAAATGGGATATTAAGGTCATGGTGTAGGGTTTTATTGGTAAATAGAAAGGAGCATCGACTATTGTTCGAAGGATTGGATGCGTTTGATGTTAGAAAATTTTGCTGTTACCCTCAGTTCAAGTCCGTAAGTCCAAGCAGGTTTCAGTATTGTCTTGTAGATAAGTATTTTATTTTCAATAAAGAGTTTAGATTTTCTATTTAGTAGTATGTATAGTTGGCCGTATCGTCGGTTAAGTTCCTGTCTTTTAAGTCTGGTATGAGGGTTCCACGTTAGTCATCTGTCTAAGAGAAAGCCAAGGTACCGGACTGTGTTTGAGAAAGAAAGCTGGATGGAATTAAAGTGTACTGGTGGACAGGAACTGCGTTGGAGTGTGAAGGTGGTTTGTTGGCATTTGGATTCATTTACTTTAATACGTCATTTATTACACCAGTGCCCAATCAGGGAGAGGTGTCTTTGAAGGTTTAAGGATGCTATATCAGGATCAGAGTCTGATGATAGAATGGCGATGTCATCAGCAAAAGTTGCCAGGAAGGTATCGCGATGGACAGGGATATCGGCGGTAAAGAGGATGTAAAGAACGGGACCCAACACGCTACCTTGAGGAACACCAGAGTCAATTGGATAGCAATTTGAAAATTCAGTGTCGCAGCGAACTCGGAAGGTACGATCTGAGAGTTAGGAACGAAGGACAAGGTGTGAGGACTGAGGAAGATGGGTTTTAACTTTGAAAAGAAGCCCAATACCCGGTCAAAAGCTTGAGCTATGTCCAGAAATACACCCGAGCTTGCTTGCTTTCCAGGGCTGCGGAAATATGATCGACCACTCGAAGTTCTTGTTGGACTGTGGAGTGTTGGGAACGGAATCCGAACTGGTGTGAAGGAAGATTTTGGGATTCTATAAAGGGTAGGATACGTTTCAGCAGGATCTTTTCAAAGATTTTTGAGAGGATTGCAAGTAGGCTACTTGGTCTGTAGGAAGTTAAGCTGTTGTGAGGTTTGCCTGATTTTGGGAGTAGGATAATAGTAGAATGTTTCCATAAAAGTGGAAAGTGGGTGGTTCGTAGGATGCTATTGTATATATATGTAAGAAATGTGACAGCTTTAGGAGGGAGTTGCCTAAGAATCTGAGAGGTAAGGAGGTCGTATACAGGTGATTTGGGGGTAGTTAGTTTTTGTAAGTGGTATTAGACCTCAGGAGGATTAACTGCTTTAGGCGGTAAGGAGAGTGGGGTGGGTGAATTAAGGAATTCCTCTACTACTGGCGTGTGGGTGGGGTTGGATTCCGGATGAGAGGTGAATGTAAGGGAAAGGTGTTTGGCGAATTCCTCGGCTCTATCTTTGTCAAACGCTGCCCAAGAGCCATCACCTCGACGGAGAGGATGTGATATGTGATGGGATTTTAGGATTTATTTAGTGATCTTCCATAGGAAATTGTCATGAGAAGAGAGAGAAGTAGGGTAGAAGTTAAAGGATTGGGATCTGAAGATGGCCAATCCTAGCTTTAATTTTTTGCAGAAATAATTATAGGATTGACGATCGGTGGTGTGTCTAGTACGTTGCCATCATAATCTGGCACGGCGTTTGATGTGGATTAGGTCTATGAGGTGTTGAGGTAACTTACTTTTTTTGGAAGTTCTTGAGAAGTGGTTTGGAGAGGAAGCAGTCCAGATTGCTTGTTGGATAGTGGTGGTAAAAAAGTGTAGGGCATTGTTAAGGTCATCTGGGGTTTTCAGGATTATTCTGAGGTCAATTTTTTCGGAAAGGATTTGGTGGCAGAGTTTACTGGTTAACTGGGCCTCTGATGAAGGAAGACTTAGGAATAGGAGCTAGAGATAATTGGAGTAATATTGGACTATGATCCGAGGATAGTTCGGCAAGACGGGTAATGGAACGATTGAGGGAACCTAAGCCACTGTGGATGAAAAAATCAAGGATATCGGGATTGCGGTTAGGATTTGTGGGCCAGTAGGTAGATGAGTTAGGATGGTCAGTACGGTATGTTATATATTGAGGTATTTTTAAATGCTGTTTTCTGGTCAGTCGTGTTTCAGTGCTACAGTGATGGAAAAAAGTATTTGCACATCACGTTTTATGAATAAACTAGTTCAAGGAAACAAAAAACTTCGGTTTCCTTTGTAAAAATGAAAAGTAAATTTATTAAAAACTGAAAAAACCTTTTCACAAAAAAATAGAAATACTTCATAATCAAACAAAATAATTAAACAAAATAATTAAAACAATAAAAGTGCTTGGAAAAAAGTATTTGCACATTTACAAGTTTATTTTAAATTTTAATAGTTTTAATATTTTGTAAATAGGCCATTTGCGTCAATAATTGCTTGTAGACGTCTGGGCATTGAATGCACTAGGTTTTTAATTAAATCTAAGTTTATCTGTTCCCATTCTTGAACATGAAGTTGTTTAAGGTGATGTCCACTAGTGATATGGTGTTTTCTTACATTTTGGTCAAGGGTGTGCCATAAATTTTTAATGATATTTATGTCTGGTGACTGAGGAGGAGTGTGGAGCTGTCTTGGAACATTAAATATTAACCACTCCTTTGTTATCCTCGCAGTATGTTTTGGATCGTTGTCCTGCTGAAAATAGTACTGATCCTGATTTCCCATTTTTTCGGCACTAAAACGCAAATTACGTTGCAAAATATTCACATAGCCTTCCGCATTTAAAATGCCTTCGATGCTTACAAGATTTCCCACGCCATGGTAGGAAACACAACCCCAAACCATAAAATGTCCTCCACCATGCTTTATAGTTGTTAAAACATTTTGCTTCTTTAGGGCTTCATTACGATGTCGCCATATCGTCCTTCGACCATCTAAACCAAACAAATTAAATTCGCTTTCGTCAGAAAAGATGACATTTTCCCAAAAGCTTAAGGGTTTCTGTACGTACTCCCTAGCAAAAGCAAGGCGCTTTTTGCAATTCGTTTCACTGATGTATGGCTTCTTTCTTGGAACTCTACCATGGAGCCCTTCCGAATTCAGGGCATATCTAATTGTTCTGCTAGTAATCTGGACTCCAGACGTTGATTGGACCATGGTAGCCAGCTGCCGAGAACTTATCACAGGATTTTTAAGAGCTTCTTTTCTGATTTTCCTCTTCAGCCTGGGAGTTAACTTTTTTGGACGCCCTTTACGCTCACTATTTTCAGTCGAATCACGTTCTTCATACCTTTTTATGAATTATCTCACTGTAGAAAAATTGAACCCTAAGAAATCGGCGATATGTTTTTTGCTGACTCCTCAGTAAAATAATTTTTTCGCGAGTTGCGGCACACAGTTCACTTTTATTTGGCATGATAATTGTCTATTGACTAAAGGAAACTGATTGAAAGAATAGAGAATACTGGTAATAAACGATTAGAGATAAATTAGTAAACAGGCCTATGACCTATGTATACAGGAGGATTAATGCCAAAGTATACAGAGCTTGTGAGTCATAGTGTGCAAATACTTTTTTTCCAAGCACTTTTATTGTTTTAATTTTTTTGTTTCATTATGGAGTGGTCATTTTTTTCCAAAAGGTTTTCTTAGTTTTTAACAAATGTACTTTTCATTTTTGCAGAGGAAAGCGAAGTTTTTTGGTTCCTTGAACTCATTTATTCATAAAAACATGATGTGCAAATACTTTTTTCCATCACTGTACGTCGATGTTCTTGTCCAGTAATAAAGCTGTTAGTTCGTCAACGTGATTTTTAACACCATTCGCATTCCAAAGGAGAATGGATATGGGTGCCTTTTTTTTCTTAATTTTCTGGTTTAAAAGCTCTCTTAAAATTGGAAACTTAATGTACTCTCCCCGAAAAAATGTTTGCGCCATACAATGCCCCCCTCCTCTCTCTGGGCACTTCTGAATGTATTCCAGAGGGTCTGGTGATTGTTCATGTGCTATTTTTAATCTTGTTTCCCAGCTATTCATCAATTTCTTGAGGAGTTTTGTTGAACGTGGATAAACTTTATATAAATCCAAGATTTTTAACAGCCAATTATGAGGGACCAAGTCGAATATTTCTGTAATCAATCCATGCGATCGACAAATTTCTTTTGTATATAGCCATTTGAACAGCAATGAACAAATCTATGAGCAGCAATTCTTTTCACATATGAGCTCCTTTTCTACAAATAACTTTTAACATTATTATTTTAAAAATAAAACATGTTATTATTTAAGTATTAAACTTAGATCAGTCACAGTATGACATACGTACCAATGAAAACAAAAATTTTCCATATTGAAGGTGGCATTAGTCTGAATGCCTCCTCCCCCCATTAATCCAGAACACTAGCGGATCCAGGACTTAATTTGGGGGGGGGGGGCTTCAGCCCGGAAGCTTTTTTTTTAAATATATATAACGATAATTATTTTGGAAAAACAGAAAAATACTAACAATCTATATGAAATGGTGTTCAAGTGATTCTTGAAGTCCTATTAAATGTAATTAAACGAGCAATAATACTTTAAGACATGACTTTTTACCATAAAACATAGTTACATTTTACCATTTTGGGTGGGGCTTCAGCCCGAAAGCCCCCCCCCCAACCGTAAATCCGCCTGCGATCCAGAATGATCCCAAGTTTGGATTTAAACATTATAACTGGAGCCATTATGTTGGCCATGTTGGAACTGCTCCAAAGGACTCCGGTCACATATTAAGTTCCGTGGAACGAATCCACCAGTTCCGTACTAGTCCTAGCTGTAACTGTTTTACTTTAACTGGGAGGTTTTTATTTGTTGTTGGTTATAAAATGCCTTTTAAAAAAATATATAATTTCTATTAATTTTCTATGGAAGTTCTTTACAAAATCACAATGCTACACTCTTCTGTTTATCTCATAATGAAATGGAGCTAATGTTCCTCTTATTCAATTTAGCATTGTTTTCATTATTTAAACCTGTTGTGAAATGTCATATTGGAAATAACAGTCATTCTCACAGTAACATTCATAAGTGTGGAGATTCAGGACAACATATTGAAGTCACTTTTTCTACAAGAATAGTTGCAAATGGTAATTATTGTTTTTATATATTTCTTGTATCATGGAAATACTTGTATTGAAGACTGTATTTATTTCATTTTGAATTGAGACTTGATGTTACAGGTATAGGTAAATTTAAGTTAGATGTCATCTGGTATATTTTATATTTCTCCATGATCAAATTCGGTAATTAGGCCTACATCAGGATGATTTGTAATGTTCTTTCCTTCTTGCTTTTCATGTGAGAACAAACTGTTAAAAATACCTTCATTGACAAGCAAGAGGGAAAAACCATCGTTTACCAGTCTGATGAAAGTCTAGTGACCAAATCCAGTCGTGGAAGAATATAAAATATACAGTGAGACCTCTTTTTATTTATATAAATTTATTTAGTTCCTTGTTATAAAAGTTCATAGTATGTTTAATGCTTAAGGTTCTATTATTAATTGATTATATTTCCCAATTCTTTGGTTATTAATGTATTTATTTAATCATTAAAATATAGCAACATAATTATTATAAATTAAGTTACTTTTTAGTAAGATATAGTAATAAATGATGGAGATTTAAAAAATTAACCAAAGTAAATATTAAGAACTTGTTACTTTTGAGGATACTAGAGTTGAAACAGCTCCTACCTCCCACTCCCAACATCTAAAGTACTCCAGAACCAGTAATATTGTTATTAGCTCTGACTGCTCATAGTTTATTTGTGTGTATATCTCAGTTCCTGAACTGAAAGGATCTGTGATGGGTAAACAAAAGAACTAGTCATTCTATACTCTAAAATGTTAAAATATTTTATCTATTTGTTAAAAAAATCTCTTAATTCTTATTTAAAAATCATAGACTGAAGATTCTATATTGGTATTGGTTTGGGCTAACTTTAAGACTCGGCTTGACACTATTGAAGTCAGTATCTGATGCATGCAGCCCATCTGTCAGTTCATTCATTATCAACATGAAGTCTTATAAATCAATGATGTTGTATATGTAATGCTATTGGTCTACTTAAAAAGTACAATCTTTCAGATTTTCCCTTTTTAGTTTTTGACTTAGGCTCACTAATCTTGAAAGTCCAAATTTTTGGAGAGTTTCTATATTGGCAATGTTTCAAGACAAACTTGTAGGTTCTTAACAGGACAAACTTTATAGCATCAGAGATACAAAAATGATATTAGAGATAATATTTAATGAATATAGAAGCAGTAAAACTGGGCAATATTAGATATTTGAATCTAAGCAATAATAGTAGTGAATACATGATAATAATAAAGTTGGGTTTTTATAAAAGGCACCTCTTCCGTTGATAAATAGTTTATTTATTCTCCTTTAGTGGACTTTTTTGGCTCCTGGCCCATCATCAAGGACAACTTATCATTTTATTGGTAACAATTAAGTCAGTTTAATAAGTGAATTAGCATATTTCTATTTATATAAAAACATAATATGTTTTATGGAGAAAAGAGATGGTCCTGGATGACAGTCATAAAAAGAAAAAAATATATATATATGTATATATAATACAGAATTTTATAAGGTATAGAATGAACAAGATACAAAGGATATAGAAAACTGTAGGAGTTACAAGATATTTAGATAAACAATTAAGAAAATTATAAACACTTAATTATGTTTTATCAGAGATACAGATAAGAGGTAACTATAATGTGGAAAAACAGTAAATTAATCTGGTGAGATAAAAGGTTAATAAAAAATACAATTTTACTTACAAAATAAAATTGTGAAATTATAGATAAAAGTATAATGTAAATACAAAATAAAAATAAAAGATCATACATAAAAGTAGAATGTAAATATAAACAATAATAATGAGAGTTCACACTATAGAGAAATAATTTAAGTATATGGAAAAAATACTATAAAGAATTAGAAAAAAACTTCTTTTTTTCTTGCCTTTATTCAAGCCTATGACATTGACTGTAAGGCCACATGAGGGTGCAGATCGTACATCTCATCCTCCCAACACACAGGGCACATAGAGCTTTCCACGACTCCGATTCTGTGCAAAAGCCTTTCCAGATAATCATGCCCAGTCATCTTGCGGAAACACGCTACCGAGACTTTCCTACTTTGTTTTGTTTAATCGGCCCCTCTGTTCATTCCCATTTTTCCAAGATGACTGTTATTTTTGCCACTTCCTATCCTCTTTTTTGCAAAAAGATTTTAAAATCCTTTTAATTGTGGCATATCAAAGTGGTCCGTGCACACTCATCAGCTTTTTGCTTCTTCTGGTGGACTACAATTGCTTGGAAACCATTGAAATGTCACTCAGATTCTATTTTTAATTAGATCATCAATCCGATCTCTAGCATCTGTGACATCAGGATGTTCCAGGCGATTGCAGATTGCCAGTATGGCGATGAAAAAAACTTAAGAACGGGATGGGGGAGGGTGTACAATAAATTAAGGATAAGATTTTTAAAAAAACCTGTATGTCGGAAAGGACTAGGTAAGGTTAAAAAAACACACAAAAAAAAACAACACAACTTTTACTTACCAACCTTAGAGTTAATAGGTAATTTCTTATAGGAAGTTGAAGTGAAAACAGTGGATAACTTCATTTAAAACAATTAATTACCATTCCTATCCATTAAATCAGTTAAATTTATAGGTTTGCATCACTTTCCATTTCCTTTTATGACTGTAAAATTATAGTATCAAACATTGATAAAACATCCCATTATTTGCGGAAAATGTCTCCTCCAACCTCCACATTTGGCATTTTGTATCAGTTTTCTTCATTTAACTTCTAATCTGTTGATTAGAAGAAAATAATGAATAGGAATGAAAATATTCTTCATAATATCATGAACCGATATAGAACCATTCGGGGAGTAGCTCTTTTTGTCCAAGGTAGCCTTAAATCCAAAATCCTTGTTTTTTCTCCTCTTTCCATTTTTCCACATATCGAATATCTATTTGCAGAAATATCCACCTCCTTATATCCATTACTTTTTGGTGTCATCTATCGACCCCTTAGAGTGCTCTTTGATGAAACACTGGAGGCCATTAACAGGGAACTGATCCCTTCCTGCTCTAATATTCTTCTTTCCGGAGGTAACACCAACCTATGTTTTCTGTCCTCTGATAAAACCTCCTCTACTTCCTTAATCTGTATATAGTCCCTTACAGTCCTACCCATCACACCCAGTACTCCAACTCTTCGCTCGATCTCTATGTTATTGATTCTCCTGTTAAACTCCTTGCTTCATCACAGTTTCCTTTTTTGTCTGCTCACGATCTCATACAAGTCTCCTATAACCTTCCTGTTCTGCTGTTATTTCTCCCCCAACCTATATTTTTTCAAAACCTTAATCTCCTATCACTCGAAATTCTGATGCCTGTTCTTGAAACTATCCAATGGGACTCCATATACTCCTCTAACTCCGACGATTTTATGGTAAAAACCTTAACTATTTATCTACAAACTATCCTGAACCGTCATACCCCTCTTAAAGCAGACACTGGCAAAAAGTATTTTAATTATTATTTGAAAATACTGCATTTAAAATAAAGTGTATTTTAAATACCATAATACCAAAAATTCTTTTCATGTTTTGTATTTGAAATACAAAATATAAAATACAAATACAAATAATTGCGTCTAAAGTACCTAGTTGCACTTTAAAACTGCTTCCTATATAAATTAAAAAAAATTATTTTATTTATTTATTTTAATGTCTTTTTGTAAGGAAAACATTAATGAAAAGTGGGCACAGTAGATATAGTTTTAAAACAATTAATGAAAAAATATACTTCATTTAGCCAATATTTTTTAAAATAAGAATTTGTTCAAAAAATTATAATTGACCAACAAACAAACAAATAAATATGCCAAGTAGATATTAATTCCAAATTAAACTTTTTGGTAATTAGCTTTTAATAATACACTTTCCTCAAACAATTGATCATTCAACAATTTTATTCTGGGTGCATCCAACAAATTAGAGGACGAAAATAGTTGTTCAACTGGCCGCGATGTGTGCATCAGAGTATTATATGTTATAAAAAAAATTTTATCACAGGGTAGTCATCCAGGATTTGTAAATTTTGATGTCGATCTTGTTGAAATCTTAGGGTTTCAATTTAAACAGCGAGAATGGTATTTGTATATAGAGAGGTATTTGAATTACTTACCTCCTTTAGGTTTAGTCATTTGTAGGCTGAGTAAGTTTATCAATAATGAATATATTTCACCATTTCTCTTCTCTCATTATATTAAGTGATTAGTAATTTGTTAGCATAAAATATTAATTTTAGTTTATAATAATAATTTTTCCTAAAATCAATTTTATTTTTAATAATTTCTTAGGTAAATTGTAATTTTCTTTAACGAAACTTTACGAGAAATTTTTAGTTTTATCACTTTAACGATTTTTTTTTTATCTCTTGAGCATTTCTCTGTAATTTTTAACTTCATTGTAATTATTTGTTTTTCCCAACAATATAACTACCGATATTATACTCTTTCATTCTTCCAATGAAAAAATCCTAGAACCTTTCATAATTTCTAAATATCTACCAGTTTCAGTGCCAAAGTTAATTTTATTAAAAATTTAGCGCGATCGCCCATAAAAAAAATCAAATGAAAATTCAATTTTCATGGGTGAGTTCTAATACAAACGATTAGCCTTACTAAATAACTTAAAGGCGGCTTATCAATTCGGTAATGTATTTTATGTATTTAAAATATAAAATACAATAAATTGAATGCATTTTGTATTTTAAAAATAAAATACAAATACATTTCATTTTATTTTGTATTTTTAAAAGAAAGTATAGTTACAAATAATGTAGTTTAAATTTTACTTCTTAAAATACAAATTACAAAAAATGTATTATTTTGTATTTTATTATACTTTATTTGAAATACTGCCCAAGTCTGTCTTAAAGTTAGAACAATCAAGTATCCCCCAGCTCTTTGGCTGACATCTACAGTGAAAGATTGTATGAAACAATGAGATGCGACTAGACGGAAGTTTAAATGCACTCTACTTCCCAAAGAC